CAGCCCAAATCAACATTGGAAAACGCGAAGAACCCCGTCAGGCTCCTTTTTCGATCCGGGATGTTACATGCAGATACCCTAAGAAGAACGCAGCTCGATGTATCGTGCTCTTCTTCAAGGACATGAGGGATATTAATTGATTGAAAGTGTATGCAGCTCCCGTAACGGAACCCTAAAAGCTAGTGTGATCCTTTAAGCTCATGGGGTTTTGGGGTGTAACATAGTATGATTTTAATCAGGAGCCCTGAAGAGTTGTCTTGGTAATGATTTCGGCTTCTAAAGTACAGGATTTCCTAAAGACTCATAGAACCCCTAACACTACCAAGTAAGCTATCCCTATACAAGTAGGGTACCTATCGAGGCACCAATAATTACACTACAGTTCCTTTAAGCGGTTCTTTTCAAAGGGCTACTATGAACCTCAGAAGAAGAGAAAGGCTCCATGTCCCGCCTGCGGAGCTTCTCCTCCAAGCTTCGGTTCTCCTGCCTCAGCTGCTCGACCTGTGCATTCTACGAGGTTCAAAGGGGGTCTAGGGGGCTGATAAGATATTTTGAGTTTAGGAACGTGGAGGTTTCGGAGCGCAGGGCTTCAGGAGTTTGCAGGTTCAGGGGGCAATGAAGTGTTGCCTTAAGGCCGTGAGCCCTTGGAATCGAATTCCATGGCATGCATCTGCCCAAGCAGGACCGACCTGGAGAATCAGCGCTTGCCGGTCTTCCACCTTAGAGTGCTCTTTCGGAAGAAATCGGTATCAGCAAGACGCTCTCTCTGGCCAGGAAAACGCTGTCAGAAGCTGGAGTCAGCTGGAAGCTCCGTAGCCAAGCAGTCCTATGCAGTCCTGTATACATGTTTAGCAACCGGCAGGGCCATACCGCATGAATGATGCACGGCATGTCTTGGAATCTGGCCAGCCGGTTCTGGTGTTCCAACAATTGCTGGGATGCAGCGTAAGCCGTTATCTGGGATTGCTGGTCGGCATAGCCATCGCGACTTCCTGACCACCCGCAACTCCACTCCAGAAGCCAGCGTTTGACACGTGACCCACGGACCCTGCAAAAACTCCATTGGTGCATGGAAGGCTGAAGTAACGACAACGACAGCGATTGTACGGACAACAGTGTCGAGGCTTGCAGAAGCAAGTTTGCTGTGAGCTGTCTAGTGAAATTAGGGTACCTTATTTTGGGGTCCGTATAATAAGGACCCTACTATTAAGGGTACTATATTGGGGTCCCTTGTTGTCGGAAACCCCCAATCCGTCTCTGCGCTGCGCTGCAGCTCGGACTTTCGGAGACCCGTCCATGGCAATGGCCCGTTGACCACAGTGTGCTGGATGGGGCCCCCACAGATTCAAAAAGGTGCGGAAATTTACCGAAGCTGCATGGAAACTGCTAAGTCCAGCTGGGTTGAAGCTCTGGCGTTGTGAAGAGTCTGATTGCTTCTGCACTTTATCACTCATGTTCATCAGAGTCATACCTGCAATATCCCATCCGCGCGACTTTGTGCCTCGTGCCGAGGCTGAACTTGTGCGTTGTGGAGACGCCACCTGGGTGGCATGAACTCACAATTTCACACTGACATCCTCAATAATTAACTTGTAAGAACTCCCCAAATGCATGTGGTGACGTTCCACTGCGCCAGTCAATTCGGATCCAAGCCACGTAACTCCCGCGCACAGGACTGGAGGTGCCAGTTTCAACAGCAGTCCTGAAGCTTGCAGGAGACAAGGGAGTTCAGGGATTAGGAGGAGTCTGGGATTCTATACCTAAGGAATAAGACAGGGCAGATAGGAGGTTCAGGGACCAGGGGGAGTCTCAGGAAACTGGGTACCCCGCAGCCCCAAATTACTGATGCAAGCGGTATCCCCTGCCACAGAGAGGTCCTGCCGTGAATGCACTCGTCGTTCTTCGGCCTCGCGTCCTGACGAGTTCAATTATGGGCAGATGTCTCGCACCAGTTAGAACCCTAAGGCCCTAGGCCAACTACAAAAAAATCCAAAGCTTCAAGCCTAAACCCTTACAGCCCCAACTGTTATGCAAAGCTGAAAAAACACCCAAAGCCCTTCAACGCCCAACTTCAACCTTGAACCCGGCGGCCCTAGACTAAACCTAAACCTTAAACCCTAAACCGTAAACCCTAAACTTTCCTAAACCCAAACCCCTAAACCCTAAACCCTACACCCTCAGACCCCCCCAAACTGCAACCCTGAACCCTCCAAGGCCAACTTCAGCACCAAAAGCTTAGGCCCTGAACCTGTCAAACCCCCCAACCCTGGAACCGAAAAGAGGAGCCTTATATATGGTAGAATATAGAGCTCTGAATTTAGGGTTTGGGGTTTAGGGTTCTGAACTTGGGGTTTAGGGTTTAGAGTTCTGAAAGCAGGGGCCTACAAAGTTCTAAAAGGGGTTCTGGAGTATCTCAGCCCTAAACCCTGAAAGCGGGCAAACCCTAAACCCCTTAAAGCCACTCAACCCCTCAAGCCCTAAACCCTGAAAGCGGGCAAACCCTAAACCCCTCAAGCCCCTCAACCCAACAAGCCCTAAAGCCTGAAAGCGGGCAAACCCTAAACCCCTCAAGCCCCTCAACCCCTCAAACCCTAAGCCCGAAACCCCTCAAGCCCCAAACCCTGAAAGCGCAAAACCCTAAACCCCTCAAACCCTGAGCCCCTCAAGCCCTAAACCCCTCCAGCCCTAAAGCCCAAAACCCTGAGAAAGCAAGAACTCCCTGGCAGCACCTGGGACGCGGCGCCCGGCCTGAAGGCTAGATCCGGGTCTTCCGGGTTTAGGGGTTTAGGGGTTTAGGGGTTATAGGGGTTTAGGGGGGGTTTAGAGGTTTTAGGGGTTTAGGGCTTTAGGGGTTTAGGGGTTTAGGGTTTAGGGGGGGTTAAGAGGTTTACGGGTTTAGAGTGCCATCCTATTATTTCAGAATGAAAGGGTTAAGGTTGTGGAGGGATTCGGCCATGATTTATGACAGAAACCCTCTAAGCCCCTAAGGCATACTTAAAGGGTTCTATAGGGTTGCTATAGGGCTCTATATACAGGGTTTCATATGGTGCAGGATAGGGGCCTGAAGCAATAAAACAAGGTTCCGCTTACAGGGCTCCGTTGAGTGACAGGAACCAGGTGTTTTCTGAAGCCCCTATGCGCCCCTATGAGTAGTTCTCTGATTTGGGGTCCCGCTGTAGGTCCCCAATATAGCACGGCACCCTTATAAAAAGGACCCTAATTTTGAGAACTACCCCTCTAAACCAAACCCCTATGCAGCCCTATAAACCTGTAGAACCTAAACCCTCAACCCTAAGCCCTATAAACCCTAAGCCAAATCAACCTCGGAAAACGCCTCTAAACCGTATTTTAAACCCTAAACCCTAAACCCCTAAACCCTATTTTGAACCCCTATGCAGCCCTATGCAACCCCAAAAACCCCGCAGCAACTAAATCCCCCCAAAGCCCCCCTACACCCTGAACCCTAAACCCCTAAACCCTTGAAGAACCCAGCAGCAACAGGCTGCGGCCTGGCTTCTTCGCACTGAGGCCCCAGGCGAAAGGCGCCGGCTCTCTCGGGGATCATAGCCTGCTTGCACAACTTGGGGGCCTTAATAATTAGAATAGGGTTTTGGGGGTTCCTTATTGTGTTTTTTAGTATAATGGGCCCCAAAACCCTATCCTAATTATTAAGGCCCCTACATTAACTTGAGTTAAGGACAAGACAACACTAGGAGGGCTTGCTTCGGGATTCGTAGTTTAGTCTAGGAGCTCAGAGCTCACAGAAGCCACAAAACACTTGGAAACTAGACTTCAGATTGTTATTCGGACTCGAGGCATTCCCCATGATTGCAGGGTATCGACTCCCAGGCAGCAGAAAGAGAAGAACGCCCATGTCTGCAAGAGTATTTCGCTGAGGCTGAGGAGCTGGCCCTCCAATTGGTCCACACAGATTCCCGGAAACCAGCCCGTGGTCTCTTCGCCTTCCTTTGAGGAGCCGCTCATTGCGAAGCAAGTCGCTTTCAGATGCGAAGGCCACGGTTTAGAGTTTAGGGGTAATTTTTGGTCTACTCATCCGAGTATTCCCGCGGAGTGACTGCGGTCGGTTTCTCCGTTGCTCTAAACCAAGAGGTCCTGTTCGCCTCTGTCGTGCCGGCTTTCACGACTACCAAACACTTCAGCTCTGCTTCAGGTGGCTCCTTGTGTCCTCCCCACCAGCCAGTCTCATCCTGAACAGCAGTTTAAGCTTCAAGGGGCTTGGGTAGGCTCTGGACAGTAGAGCTGGCACTGCCAGCTCGGTCAAACGTTTCAATGCCGCAGCATACACAGGTCAATGGCTGGACGAGGGGCCTTCTCCATCACGATGACAATATCACCAACCTTGCTTCGACATTTTCGATTGAGTGCGGAACCAGAGAGAGACAGAGAGAGAGCTCTATGCAGGTGCACCTTGAGTGTGAGCTGGTCTTCGTCGGTTGCATCGTGCTTCTTTACGACGACTGTCCGAATCAACCTCGCTGCGGCGACGTCTTCGCAACTGTCTTAGACAGTGGCGGCCTGGGATCCCTGCTCGTACTGCGCTTCAGACCTCGCACGGAACACAGCTTCAATACTCTGGTGCATGCCAGATGCGTTAAGACCGCCACCAGTATGGATCCGGATCCACCATAGTCGCAGCTTCGTTGGGTCGCTCTACAGCGTTGAAACGAAAATGCCCTACCACTAAGTACGTGTCAAACTTTAGCGTAGAGCACGTGCCCGCAGTAGGATGGTGCATGCAAATCGCAGACCTACAGGAGTTGTCGATGCGTGCTTGCAGTATCATGACACTTTACCGATGCCATTCCGCTGATTAGTCCGCAAGAGCATTCTCAGAAGGCTTGGATTCGCTCGAGCTACATCAGCGAGGCATTCCGCAAGATGCCGAAGGCCACTCACTTTGCATTGGCTGAGTCGGGATCAAGGCGGAAGGTGCTACAGATTACTCAAGACGAGCAATTGAAAGAGGGCCCTCTACTTTTTCAGTCGGAGTCCGAATCGATGCCCAAAGTGGAGGCAAGGCGAAGGGCGACTTCCTGGCGGACAACATGAAAAAACCCCGGAGAAGGCCCTATCTCAGAGGCCAACATGCCGGAAGAGCGCATGCGCGCTCTTTGCGAGCGGCATGATCCGCCATGCTTCGGATGTCCTTCATCTCGCCAGCCAACTTCTCAAACTCCTGGAACAATCTTCTTCCGCAAAGGCCGCAAAGGCTCTGAGCGCGAAGACGGACATGTAACATAATGCACTATACCGCTATTTCAACTTTGCTCCTCTGCAGCCTCAAACTCGTCGTCTTGGGCTTCAAGAGCCTGGCTTTTCATTTGAGTAGATGGTGCCGAAATGGATCCCTCCTTGGATGACCCCTCTCTTTACCAAACACTTTGGCATAGTTGCACCTGGTATCCGTTCTTACCGGCTTCGGCATCAGCCCTTCCGGCGGGATCTGCGGAATCGTCGATCGCGTCGAGTCCAGCTGCTTGCTCGACTACAGCGGGCCTGCAAGCACGAGTAGCTGGTTAATACACCCTCCTCTTGAATGAGGAGTATCAATGCTAAATAATACGAGGCGGTTAAGGACAATGAGTGTGGCATCGGCTGGCTTGCTGAAGGCCTGGATTGCTCGTCGACTGTCCGCTGAGTTGAACGGGCCTCACACACCGAGCTTCACAGCCACAACCATGTACTATAGGGGCCCATTATTAGAAGGGGGTGTTAGGGTATGTTATACCGTTATACCATAAGAAAAAAGAAGGATGAAGGAACCATTTAGGCCCCTGTATTACATGCTTCACCTGGGAGGAACTTAGCCGCACGCCTTTGGCTCCAGACCCGTCCAGGACGCATGGCACTCCAGGGCCTGGAGATGCTCTCACATTACTCCCAAGGCTCTTAGTTTTAGGGTTCAGGGTTTAGGGTTTATAGGGTTTATAGGGTTTAGGGGTCTCCATAAGCAGTCGACAACCTCCTTCGCAGAGACCGTAGGGTTTGGGGTTTAGGGGTTTAGGGCTTTAGGGTTTAGGGGTTTAGGGGTCTCCATAAACAGAATGCCTTCGAAGCCCCTAAGACGAACAGCGAGCACAGGAATCCCTACTTAATCGATGGACCCCGCCCACGCCCCCCTCCCCCCCCCTCTCCCGACAAGCGATGCAGGGGCCCAAACAGGTGCCCGGCGGCGCCCGGGAGAAAATCGGATTAAGCTTGAAGGTTTAGTGCTTCAGGATTTAAGGATGTAGGATATCCTTAGGGAAGGTTCAGAGCTTCAGGCATTTGGGAGTCCCTGCCAAGCGGTATTCCCGGAGCCGTGGTCAGAGAGCCAGCGCCGCCAGAACGCCAAAGGACAAGAGCCCAAGGGTTAAGCTGCGCTGTTTGGGGTTAACGGTTGAGGGTGCACCTTCGTAGGCAAGCCCAGTGTGTCAGGCGAAAGGTTAAATCTAGCGGCCATCACGAGAGAAACCAGACCCATTTTTCTAAGCAAGACATGCAGAAACGAAGGAGGGATATACAAACAGAGGTATGATGGGAAGATGACAAGGCAACAAGGTCTACTAAATGATGAAACAAGGAGAAGTGACAGCAGAATGCATGAGGCCTCGAGTACCCTGATCACGGTGCCATCGCTCTCGTCCGACAGCAAGCCCAGTGGCCTGCTCAGTTGCCCTAAATGCCCTCTGAGAGGAACTGAACCCGCACATGAATAATAGGAGTACATTTGTATTCAGAGCAATATCAACATCAACTATAGTAACAATAATAATGATCATCAGAACCCTAAAAGTACAATTGACATTTGCCAGGCCTGCCCTGGCGAGCTCCTCCGGCCATAGTCTTCGCATGTCAACACATCAAAGTTACACCAAGAGGCAAGCAATGTGACGTCCGGCTGCTGAAGAGAATAGGGGGGCCCGCCTACGATTCCAGAACGGAGTGAGTATACCGCGACCTGCTTAGCTACTCACACTGATGATGCCCTTTTCGGACATGTTTCCCCCCTTTCCCACGGCTCCTTCCACTCGATATCGGAGAGCTTGGAGGTCGTCCGAGCGTAGAGAACACTGCCTTGCACTTAGACACGTGACGTCCCCCCCGAAACAACCCTAAAACTTGAACCGTGAAGCCTGAGAAGGCTCAAACAAAAGCAAAGGTTTGAGCCCCCTGCAACAGCTCGTATCCATGCTCCAGGCACCAAGACCAGACCTGTCCCGAATCTCAGATTTAGCTTCGGGTCCTCTCAGAGTGTAGGGCTTCCAAGGCTTAGGATTCTTGGGTGTTAAGGGTCAGGGCTCAGAGTGGGATGCGTAAGGCCGTCGGACGCACCCCTTGAAGCCATGAACCTCTGAGTAGGGCACTGACAGGTTTCTCGTTTCCAGAATTCCCTAATTCCCTGACCCTGGAAGCCCTAATTCCCTACACCGCAACCGTTCAAAGCCCAAGCAATAATCACAACATCTTGTTTTATGGTCCAACCCTCATCCCTGAACCCAACGGCCTGAAAACTCTACACCCTAAACCCCCTAATCGGAATTCCCTACGCTTGAATCTTGCCTCTTCTTGATCATTGGCCACAGCTTCCGAGCCTGAGGCAATTCCCTCAGCTTTCTCACAAACAACTGAGCGTCTCCGTCAGCTCCCGTGACTGGCTGGCAGCAACTTCACACTACATCATGAGGTATAAAGCAACACAATATCCAAAATAGTAATTTCAACAACGACCGAAAACACAACAACCTACTTGCCACCGAATCAACATTTATTCAAAGGCAGTAAATAGCTGAAGGTGTAAATACTAGTAAGACATGATATGTGGTGATATGGTATTATGAGATATGGTACGATATGATAACATGATATGAATCTCGTAATACAACACGATGTAATGTGCTGGGGTGTGATAAAACATGGCAGGATAAGATGTGATATGGTACAAACATAGCAAAACATAGAACAATGCCGTGAAACAGTACGGGATATAACATAACACAAAACAAGGTCGACGAATTCAAAATGATAGAATAAAAAAATCAAGAACATAGTATATTTGATAGCATCCTATAGAAAACATAGTATAATGAACTAATCGAAAATGAGATGGCAAATTCCAAAATAGTATGATAAAGTAATATGATACAACATTGTATACTACGACTGACTATGATTAGTGCAGTATAAACCTTGAGATATGATACAGTGTAACCTGCTATAACAAAATGACGTATAACAGAACATAATACAACATGCCATAATATCATGCAACACAGTATAACCTAGTACAGGACAACACCGCATTAATACATTTCCACACTTTCTAATACACCATAACAGAACGAGGCATCAGTCAACAAAAATAAGGTGTGGTAAGATATGATAAGACATACCATAGTTTGAACAAAGCAAAACATGATGAACTATCTGATACAGCATCAAACTTGTATGCTCTAGAGTACAGCATAACACGATACAACCAAGCATAACAAGGTGTCCCAAAACATGTTTCATCATGATATGACGTAGTCTAGTACGAAACAATGCAGTACAGCAAACACCATATAACATGGCATACTATCATGCCCCTTGATTGTGGGTTGGGGGGTAGAAACCCGGAGCCCTAAAAGAATCGAGCTTGGCAGGGTCGAGGATGGGAAGTACAGCGTAGCTGCATTGGAGCGAGCAGTTCGGGGTGCCCTACACATCCGAGCGAGCGAACTCAACTGACACACCAGAATCCCTAACCCTAGGACCTTAATCACCCGAATCCCTAACCCCTGATCCCTACACTCTAAACCCTGGACCTTAATCACCCGAATCCCTAAACCCTAATCCCTACGCTCGAAGCCCTGGATCTTAATCACCCGAATCCCTAAACCCTGATCCGAGCGATCTTCGATTTCGCTTTTCAGGGGGGGGAGCGGGGTGTTCTCCCCCCTGTTTTTCCGGTTGGAGGGTGGGTGGGGTGATGGGGTGGGGTGATGGGGTCCGGTCAAGCTACATCCTTTCGCGTAGGCCGGTGAACGAAAGCCCTCCGATCTGCGGCCGAGATCAAGCTACATCCTCTTGCCTGGGCCGGTGAACGACTGCCCTCCGATCTGCAGGCAAGGTCAAGCTACATCCTGTTGCCTAGGCCCGTGAACGAACGCCCTCCGATCTGTGGCCGAGGTCGAGAAGCATCTGCTCATGCATGTTCGCAAGATCCTGGAACACGAGATCGATACCAAATCCGACAGCCTCCTGAGCATGCTGCCCCGGCAGCATCAAGCCAATTGATCCATGGGACTTTGCCATTCGAGAGGATATCCCACAGCCTGTACGACAGCTGCAGATCGCGACAAGCGGCGCTTGTTCATGCTGCATGCTTCTGGAGATGCCCACCATGTGGGCTCATGAAACCCCTTGCCAGCTGAGTTGAGCGGCAACGTGATGCAGTCACAAGTGCAGGAAAACGTTTCAACCCTGGCAGCTTGCAGAAGCTGTCGAACTCAGGCCGCGACTTCAAACGATCCTGGACAAGTCAGGAAGGTGACATACATCACGCCTTGCCGACGCACGCTTCTCCAACCTGGTCGAGGCGGCCGAGCAGAACCTTCAATGATGAGCACTCACGGGCTGCATAGCTCCTGGAATGCACTCGGGCATGTCCAGGAAAGAAGGCCTCCCGGGCATCGTTCGAGCCGGCCACTTCGTTAACAACATGTGGCACCCCCGCCGCGCTTGATTCTGAGATGCTGCCGCGAAGCTCAAATCGAAAGAGCCGACACTCTGGGGCGCGTGCACATGCATGGAGCCAGCTGGCATTGGCATGTTGGGAGCAAAACAAAAGTCCGAAATTCAGGCCTGTAGGGCTTAGATGCCGTAAACACTCTGAATTCGGTTCCCACTTAGTTCTCCCACGACGGACTTGCCCTTGGGCCCTGGGTCCACGGTTCCCCCAATCCTCTCTGTGAGTTCAGGGTTTGGGGTTGGGGTTTAGGGGTGCTGCGCGAGGCACACGGCCAGATTGTACGCTGCGTTGGCCGTGTCGCTGTCCTGCCACAGCAAACTCAGCACCGCGGGTTGGAGTTATCGCCTCTCACACCTGATTAAACCGTATGAGGACCTCAGGGCTGGTGTTTCGTTCAGCCAGGCTTTGGAATCTAGATTGCGCAAGGCGCTTGCTTAGATAGCTTGGTAAACACTTGTCATCTCGATGCCCTGCAGCTGCTAGCACGAAGAACTGGTGGACAGAATGGTGTTTCTAGCTGAGTCTTGCACGCCGGCGCTGCTCGGCGCGGCGCGGGGTTCGTGGATCTTGGCGCATCACGGGCTTACCTACGGAAAAGCATCAGAGACTGCCATAGAAGCCCCAAAGTCAAGCTCCAAAAAGCCGTGTAAAAAGCCTTTAACCTAGATCCCCGCCAAGGTGCACATCGTTCGACCAATAGGGTTGGAGGAATGCCTTAAGTCCGCAAGCGCAGCAGGAGATTCACAATGCCATCCCGGGTCTATGGGGCGATGCGGTTAAGTCGAGATCTCAAGTCCCAAACCCTGCACCCCGTGATTGCTGGAAGAATCCCGTCATGGGCGCACGAGGCTTTGAGAAAACTCTGAATTGTTGGTTCCTGTTCTTGTGGCTTGGAGATACACCAAGAAAGTTGGGTAAAACAGAATCTCAGGCATAGTATCTCAAGCCTCCCTGATTTCCAGCTATAAGTAAGAACAAGAAATAATCCCCATCTATGCTCTGCTGTAGATGCTTTCTCCTGATGCGCTGTTTCCTGCTGTCGGAAATGGGGAATCAAGCTGCGATTCAGGGTTGAAGGTCTGGGCTGGGCTCGAAGCACCATCAAGCCCAGTTCTGCAGCGAAGGCTATGAATTTTATCGGAACTCCTGCCATTTTGCGGGAGCTTTCTGCCAGGCTCTGTTTCTCTCCCGAAGCTGGCTTTAGGGCAGAGGCCTTGGGACTAGGGTTTATTGAGTTCGAGGCTGCTACGTTCGACCGGGATGCAGAAGTGACTGGACAGGGTCCAAAAAATCATGCCGTGCATGTGTGTGTGTGTGTGTGTCTGTGCGTGTTCACCTCTTGTCCGGATCGCCTAAGGACATAATGCCAGGCTGCTAGATGTGCCAAGGCGAGCCACCCGAGAGAGACGCCGCACAATCGGCCTGGACGGCTTTTTCGCTGTGTGCGATGCCAACATCTGTGCGGGGTGGCTACGGAATACTGCATGGTGCTGCGGCACTGCGCAGCTTGGAGAAGATTGTTGTATGGGGGTGCGTCATCTGCGACATCCGACATGCGAATCCGAGCTGTAGGAACGCCCGAGGTTTCTACTGCTGCTGAAAGTCTGCAGCTGAAACTAAACGCTATATGAGCCCTACTATGCTACTCGATCCCTAACCCCCCTGGAAGCGTTGCACAAAACCCGGTAGCAACCCTAAGAGAAAAACACGAAAGAAGTCGGTTGTAAAAGTCGGTTCGATAACACCCTAAACTGCGAAGCCTGTTCCACTTGGCTTGCTGTCGAACCCCTAAACCCTGAACCACGAAACCACTAACCCTGGACCCAGGCCTGAAACTAACAACAACACTGCAAGCAGAGGCAGAAAAGTCAATGCCAGTGTCCGGATGCTGGCAAGCACGCCTTTGGCCTCAGCTGTGAGCTGCGAACCGAACTTGAAAACAGCCGGCTACACCTTCGGACTTTCAACATTTCGAAACTGTCAAGACCCGGCTGCGGCTAATGTTTGGAGCGTCAGTTCGAGACAACGAGTCAGGCTCGAAAATTGAAAGTTTCGAGGAGTTCAACGCCCGCTCGCTTGCGCGGACCCAGGTGCCCGAACTTCGGCACCTTTTTAGAACTTCAAACCGTGACACTTCAATCGGAACTTTCAAACTCTCGAGCCTTCGAGTTCGAAAGACCTTACTCGGGACACCACTCTCGATTCCTGTTTCGGAAATCATCGCTGCTGCGAGGCTTTGCTTCTCACCAGCGACCCTTCTTAACCACACTGAAGCTTCCATGAGTACCCCCCATAGCTTCTGGTACGGCTTCTTGTACCGTCCACTTCTCCCTGAAGTCTGTAAGGACCCCCAAGCCCCATGCGAATCTTCAATGTTCTGAACGTAAAGAAATGTGTCCTGCTGGTCTTTCTGTCGACAGGTTCCCACAATCACCATACCAAAGGAATACTTCTTAAGGTTTAGGGTTTAAGGTAAAGAACTTGTTTAGGATTTGGCATAGAACGCTTTTTCACACCTTGCTTGTCGGTTTCAAGCTCGAAGGTTGTGCAGTTGGGGTGTCAGCAATTGAACTGTATGTAGCAGAACATCATATTCACTTGTCATCTCGATGCCCTGTAGAGGATGGTGGTCCCGGCCTGTGGCGGCCATGGCTCTACGCACCGCTTGAAGAACGAGCCAGCCCCGACGAGAGCTAACAGGCATCATGCACATTGATGGCTGTGCGATTCTAACCGTGCTTGTACGAATCTTCCCACACTCGACTGGAAGTCGTTCTTTTCTCAAAGCACGCTACCCGTCAACTGAGCCTCATCCGATGAGATGCGATCACATGTGCGGCTGCTTCAAGGGCATACATGCACTAGCAGTTTAGCACGCTGTACCAGCTTGCCTCTCCCACGAAAGCACAACAGCTTGGTAAACAATGCTTGTGGGGTGCCCGCGACCCGCGATCTGCGACGGCTTGTGCGTAGTAGCATCAGCGCTTTACTCAAGTGAGAGGAGGAGTCACGCAGCGAAGTAATGATCGTGTCGAAGCAGGGCCCCGGCTACTTCCCTGTGAGCCGTCTCCGTTTCACCTCCTGCGTCGGTTCTGCATGTTCAGGATCAAAAGCTGTTCGGAGGAAGTGATCCTATCTGAGTCGGCTGGGCGGCTTGGACTTGGGGCGGGGTGCGTTGTCTTTTGTTGCTACGATACGCATCATACATCAAACTTCCAAAGCAAGCTGGAATCCAAATTACCTGGCCTGTGGCTGCTCAGCAGCGACGGCGGCTCGCTTCATGGCACACAGGAGGGGAGGGAAACAGAACCAGGACTAAACCAAATGGCAGCCGTCACATGCGATGCTTCAAACTTCAATGTCAGATCGAGTCGCCCGTAAAGGCGCACACAGAGATCGTGAGCTTCGTTTTCCTCGTGAGCCCGTCTCTCAGGAGCTCCCACTCGATGCGGTAGTAGTCCTTGTCTGCCGGGCGCTCGCGGTACCACCTCCGCGTCTTTTCCTCGGACCAATCGCTCTCCGTCGCCTGCTCCCAGGGTCGTCGCTCTGCCGTCAAGATCAAGCGTAATCCCTACACTCTAAGCCCTGGACCTGAATCACCCGAATCCCGAAACCCTAACCCCTACACTCTAAACCCTGGACCTTAATCACCCGAATCCCTAAACCCTAACCCCTACACTCTAAACCCTGGACCTTAATCACCCGAATCCGTAAACCCTAATCCCAACACGCCCTACACTCTAAGCCCTGGACCTTAATCACCCGAATCCCTAAACCCTTATCCCTACACTCTAAATCCTGGATCTTAATCACTGGACCTTAATCACCCGAATCCCTAAATCCTAATCCCTACACGCCCTACACTCTAAGCCCTGGACCTTAATCACCCGAATCCCTAAACCCTAATCCCTACACTCTAAACCCTGGACCCTAATCACCCAAATCCCTAAACCCTAATCCCTACACTCTAAGCCCTGGACCTTAAATCACCCGAATCCCTAAACCCTAATCCCTACACTCTAAGCCCTGGACCTTAATCACCCGAATCCGTAAACCCTAATCCCTACACTCTAAAAGCCTGGACCTTAATCTCGAAACAAGCCCTCAACCCTTATCCCTAAACCTTAAACCCTTATCCCTAAACCCTAAACCCTTGTCCCAAAACCCTAAACCCTTATCCCTAAACCCGAATCCCTAAATAACCCTAAACCCTTATCCCTAAACCGCCGGGGCCAGGCCGTCGCCGTTGTCGACGGCAAGGCAGAGTTGGACACGGTCTGTTCCTGGTCAACTCCGGGGTCCCCGGTAGGTTTTACTTTAGGTGTTCTTAGTGGGGGAATGGGGGAATGGGTTATTGGGACTACTATAGGGGACCTTAAGGGACTATCATAGGGATCCATTTCCCCATTCCCTACTAAGAAGCAGACAGCAGGTTTTACTTGCAGGCTACCGTTTAAAGGCTTTAAAGAGCTCCTGTAGGGCTTTCTGGGGGCTTTTTAGGGTTCTAAGGCTTCCGTTTCAAGGCTTTCAAGAGCTGCTGTAGGGGTCTTTAACGGGGGCTTTTTCAGGTTCCTCTAGGGGTCTTTATGGGGGCCTGTTTAGGGTTCCTGTCGGGGTCTTGCTGGGGCTTTTTGGGGCAAAGGATGGCAGAGTCGATCATTACGGCAACTGCCAGGCCTGGGGATTCCAGATCGGTTGGCATCGCATTGGAATCCGTTACAGCAGCCCTTAAGCCCTGCAGCCTTCAGAGTTCTCGGTTTCTGGTCCCGGTATGCCCTCTCTACGATAGCTAGACCAATCGAAATGCGCTGCAGTGCCTAAACCCTAAACCCTAAACCCTAAAACCCTAACCCCTAAACCCAATCTGCCTTCATCTGCTTCCTCCGTCTCGGGGTCGTCAGGGCCTGTTCAGCTAAGGCAGGTAAGTCTCTGCACCCCACGTCAAGGCCCCTGCAAGAAAAACGAGCCGTCATGAACATCCTGCTGTCGTGCGGCACTTCAGCACTGCTTTCATTGGCGTGACTCGAAGCTTCATTTCAATTGCTGGGCGCAGCCTTTGATGACGTCTTTGATGGCATAGAACGGCTGGGGATGATGCACATCCCACACAAGAATAACTGCCTCATCCACATGCCACAAGGAAGCATTGCAGCATTGTATCAATTATGCCATGGGCCACTGTCACCCTATATCAACAGCTCCGTTCATCTCCTAGACACCGTTGACGCAGAAGAACTCGAACAAACAGAAGCTGTCCGCTGTGGCTTCCCGCAGCCTTAAACATTGCATCACTACGGCAGGCCGGTGAGTGCATGCCACATGGCCTCGGCAGATGCAATGGCCTCCTGGCACAGAGCCGGTCGCAGCTTCGAGCATCTGTGACGGTGTTCTGTCCTCCAGCGTACCCAGGTCCGCAACAGCCAGGACCCGGTATTGCAGCCGCCTCGGCGCATCTTTCTCCGGTGTGTCAGCTGCCGAGGCAGAATCTCACTGAGGCACCTGCACTGAGTAGTACTTGTTTTCAAGGATGCCCACAGCGACATCAGCAGCGTCCTTATGTTTGCAGGCGCACTGTGGGATCCTTCCGCTACTATCGAATCTTCACGGGGCACTGGCAAAACCCTGTATCATGTAGTTCTAATTTCTCTGAAGACGGCACCTTATAGTTTGGAAGCCCAAAACGGACCCTAATTCGAACCGTTAGCCACACTACAGCTTGCTAGCCCCTAAACCCCAGACACCAAACCCTATGTTGATGCCCCTGCCTCGTGCAGGGTCAGAGCTCTCAGCAGTTGCCGTGCTAGATCTCCGTCTCCGACAAGGAGGACTGTCGGCATGTCCTGGCCATCCACAGACGTAGTGTTCCGCTAGTGTTGACACGACAAAAGTAACAGCACTAATGCCAGTATTAATCATAACAATAATAACTATCATAATAATAAGGGTAACAAGAAAAACATGATAGAAATACGACCATGCGAGCAGACACGGCATCTGTCCTGCCGTGGCTCGATAGGCGGCATGGTACTGGAATCTTTGCAGTCCTCACAAGTGGCTTGTCAAACGCTGCTTGCTGCAAAAAGCTGACCGAACGCATGACGAGCTTCGACAGCCGCAAGGGAATGCACCACTCATTCCAATCCAAGCGCAACTTCGCGACAGACCAAGTCGAGTGAAACTGCTTTCAAGCACGGGCAAAAGCCAAAAAAAAAAAAAACGCAACTCCAAAGCCCTAAACCCCAAAGCCCTAAGTAAACCCCCAAATACCCCAAACCCCAAAGCCCTAAACCCCCAAATACCCCAAAGCCCTAAAAACCCGCAGCCTCAGGCCCGAGCCTATACCCCAAACCTTGTACTCTGGATCCTAAGCCCTGAACCCTTGATCAACCAAAGAAAAACAGCCGAAAACCCCCAAAAACCTCAATCCTCCTAAACCCTCAATCCTCAAAGAGCCCCAAACCCCTAAACCCTAAACCCCTAAATCCCTATCGCTTGCAGGGCCCCCAGGCTTCTGCAAGGAAGGGCCGAAGCTCCGACAGCAGGCGCTGGCTTTTGCTCGACCTTTGGCGGCTTTTTGGGGGCTTTTTGGGGTTTGGGGTTTAGGGGTTTAGGGGAGGGCTTTAGGGGTTGGGGCTTTAGGGGTTTCGGGTTTAGGGGTTTCGGGTTTAGGGGTTTAGGGATTTAGGGGCTTTTTGGAGCGCTTTCGGGCTGTTTGAGGACTTTAGGGGTTTCAGGGTTCTTGGATTCTGGTGCTTTTAGGGTTCTTTGAAGATTTTTTAGGGTTTTTAGGGCTCTTTGGGGGGTTTTAGGGTTTTTAGGGTTCTTCGAGGGTGTAGGGCTCTTTGAGGGAGGGTTTTGGGGTTCGGTGTGGGCTTCAGGGTTCTGTTGGGGCTTTGGGGTTCTTGTAGGCTCTTTCTAAGTTTAGGCATTTAAGGTGTAATTGAGGACTCATGGTTATAAGGTTTTCAGGCTTTCTTTAAGGCTTGAGGGTTCTGGGCCTTGGGTTCTTTCTGGCTTTTGGGGTTTGGGATTGGGGCGATTCGGGCGTGCTTGTAGAACTCGAGGTTAACCTTTGGGCGCATACAGGGATCATTGTATTCCCCATCTAACACCTTCCGGCTACACGCCTGTCTGAAGCGCATGCGAAGCCTTCATGCGATGCAGCAGCAAGCGTGCAGCAGGCGGGCCGAGCTCATGACGACAAGAGAGATGCCATCTCAGCGGCATCCTGAGTTGCGTCCAAGCTAGTCCGAACCTACTGCACGTCTTCTATCTTGCCTTATGTCGCTATCTGATTCTGCTTAGCTGCTTGTGACAAGCCAAGAGGTCGCTACCGATCCGACATGCAAATGCCGATATCTCTCTTATGCTGCTCGTGCCAATGTCGGCCTCTGTTTCCTAAAGCCAGCCCTCTTAGCAAGCATAACAACAGAGGTCAGAGAGATCCTAATACTCAGACCTGAGTTTCACCAACCACTGGTCTACGTTGAGTCCCAAACCTTAAACTCTTAAACCCCTGTATGAAACCCGACAAAGCCCTTATAGAACCCTTATGAAACCCCTTTATGTAAACACCCTCATGAAAAAAATCTTCTAGAACCGCAGCAAGTCATATGCGCAACACCTAGGCAAGCCTCATTCAACCCTGTGAAACCCATGTAAGAATACCCCTAAAGCCCCAGGCTCTATGGCCCTAAACCCTAAACGCCTAAGACCCTGAAGCCTTAGTCCCAAGACCCCAACATCGAAGCATACATGCTTACCGGTAGTACGTGCTTTTCGTGTATTACAAATACTAAACTGTGCTCCAAAACCGCCCAAAGAGACGGTAAGCCATAAAGCCTGATGGAAAGAACCTCTAAAGGGAACCCTAAACCCTAAACCCCCAACCAACCCCAGTCTAAACATTAAGGCCCCGTACATTATACCACGTTAAAGTTAAAGCCCCATGTAAAGCCCTGTAACAACCCTGTCTAAACCCTAAAACCCTAAACC